CACTACGTGAGAGTGACCAGCTTTTCGTTCTGAGACTGGGTAAGAGACTCACCTGTTGTTTGAAAAAGACGTGCTTAAAGGCACCACTTGCTTTCAAGGAATATCTTTGAATCTTTTCCTACTGTAGCACATAGTGTTTTGGAAGCAAGTGAGAAGCTAAGCAAACTTGTCTGGTCTTATTCAGGCCTGAGGGGCTCCATTTAAATTACATTTTAAAAGGGCTATTTGAAACCCTGTCACTGAGATCCAGTTTTTGTCTTGTGAAGGCATGGTTTACCCTCATTAATGATGTGAAATGTTCATGTACAGCTTGAAGGCCAAAAAGATAAACTTCCAGAAATAGTAGCTTTAACGAACATACACATTTTCAATTCTGCATGTGGTGAAGTTAATGTGTAGTAATACACTGTTTTACACTTGATCCCTAGGAGATAAGAGCGTGAAATACACAGGCTGTATAGCAAGACCAAGTGTTCCTGTGGGAAGTGGGATCGGCTTTTTCCGATTTGCTGCTAATAGCAGGGTGATGGTTTGACCGTATTCTTGCTGCTATACTTCCAGCAGTTTCCGTACGCTTTATATCCATTTTTAAAAAACAGGCTAGCGAGAGCAAGCGGCCTCTCCAGCAGCAGCAGAGCATTAACCTGCTCGCAGTAACCTGTTGTGAGCCGTGGTGGCACCTTGCATCGTGGTGCAGCCGTGCTGAACGGGATCCTGCAGGCTCCGCGACTGTGTTTTGATGCAGTTCAGTGATTACTAATGAAAAATAGATGGTACCCTAACTCTTGAGGCTGGCAGCCCAACACAACTATAACCACATCAAACTATAGCTTTAGGAAACACTCCATTGATATCATCAAAATAAATTAACATAAACGGCCTAAAAGTCTAAGTGCTGTCCCTTAGTTGTCCAGGAGCTGCCTCTTGTCTTTGCATACAGCATTAAATTTAGAACTGGTTTCAATGTGAGTCATGTCTCGGCCCAGCTCGTCTCGCCAGACGACAGGGGAGACTGAACGCGTTCCTCTGAGCTACGGATTGAGCTCCGACAGCAGAAGATGGGAAGTGCAACTCGGGTTGCTGGGCGACTTAGGCTGCAGCAGGGAAAACTACAGCGCAGAACCAGAAACTTCCTCCGACTTGTCATCTTCCTCCCCACAGACCTGCTGCCTTGCCAAGCAGTTTTGCTGAGACCTCGGTTTCCCTTCACGGTTCCCCCAGGGCTGCCCAGCCAGCCTGGCAGGGAGGGATGGGATGGGATGGAGCTACTTGGTGCCTTAGCAGGTTTGAAATGACTTGGGTGCAGGGGAGAAGATATTTCAGCTCCTCACGCTGCCAATCTTGGCTCCAGCCTCTCCTGGTCCCAGACCTGCTGCGTGCAATTTCCATAGCAACGGCCCTGCTTTAAAAAAAATAAATAAAAAAGGAAGAACAATCAGGTTGAGCTTTTGTCTGACCTGCAAAGGCATCTCTATGTGTCTTTTTAAACTAGATCCAACTACAAAACTGCATGGCCTAGTTTGGAAGAGATTGGGGAATGTTTCGGTGTGCACTCTCAGCAAGGAGAAGTGTGGGCCATTTGCTTCTCCATTCTGTTCTGGATTGGAAAATTCTCCTTTATTTTTAAGCAGCTCAATTCTTTACTCAAGTGCTGCTGTGTGTGTCCGTGAAATCCCAGGCTGTCGCTGTGTTCTCTAAATGTCTAGCGTATGCCTGTGAAAACCCGGGGGAAACCCTTTGAGCCTGGTGCGAGTCTGCAGTCACAGACACCCGCGTAGTTTTTGAGAAACAAATGAAACACTACTTTAAAACAAATTAGATTTGTTCCCTGGAAGATCTTTTTTTCAAGCGTCTAAAATGCAGGTTCGTTCCTTTTTGCCATCTTCTAGTGAGATGTCAGAGTCTGATCTAGCCACACCGGCAGAGAGAGGCACCTGCAGAGAATCACTCATCTGCTTGCTTTAGTTGGCTTTTTTCACAAGGAAGCTAAATGCTCTCTGGAGGAATTTAGTTTTTCTGCGTTTTACTCTCTTCCTGGGTGATAGTCTCAGGCTCAGACATCCCGCTGGGAGAGGTCAATCTCAGGATGCTTGCAGCACAGGCGAGGCTCTTTTCTTGCCTCCCTTGACAGGTCAGCAGAAATCTTGGGAGGCTTCAGTGGTTTGGACACAGCACACGACCTCCAGCGAGCTTTGCAGCACGCGCGTCGGGCCGTGGTGCCGTCGCGCTGGTGCAGCAGGCGCTGCAGGTACCACCCGTCTAACGCGCTGGTAGACGTGCAGCAAGCGCCCTTGGAGCCCTGGGACTTCTTTTAAGAACAGAGCGCACAAGCTAGGCATACGGTTTTTACTTTTGCTTCTCAAGGTTTATTAAAACGGCAGCAAATGGGAGCCAGTGTCTTTCAAGAGGGTGAGTGACATTATTTCTACGTGAGAGCTTATTTCAGCCACAGCAGAGCACGGCTGGTTCCCATCCTGCAGCTCATAGGTGTTTTCTCTTCAAAACCCTTTTGATGTTGGCAAATTAAAAAGCCTAAAACTGCAACCAGCAGGAGCAGCGCAGTATGGTGTTGCCCGCAGCAGGTTATTTGCTACAGCTTGTTACCCGCCAGCCAGTGTAAGTTCACTGATCTTTTTAAAATTTTTTTTCCTTCATCTTTTTAAGCATTTCAAAGCCCAGCAAGGACTTTGCCACATGCTTTTTGCAGCTCTGAAGTACTGAATTTATTACTTCATTTCTTACTGATCAATAACTTTTCACTTGCAAGTAAATCACTTGTTTATGCCCAACTGTCAATAAAAATGTGAAAATCTACCACAAAATAGTTTATTCAGTAATTTGCAAGTAAGAAAACTGATTTGTTTAGAAAGAATCTACTGCCTTTGCTGCAAAATTGCTCTCCTTATGGTTTAAAATTAACTTTACACCAATGGATCAAAATGAATACATTTAGTGTCATCGTGTGTCATCTGCCTGTCTGGGAGGGACCATGCCGGTGCCCTGCAGCGAGCGGCAGTATTAGCAGAAGACAGCAAGGCCGAAACTCCAGCATTCATATCCAGATGGCTTGGTAGTTGACCAGCTGGGCAGCCTCATCCCTGAGGTTTCCTTTGGGGATTTGCTGCCAGTTGAAAAACACAGAATAAATGTGCGATGCTGGTGTGGGAATATTATTTTGGCAAAACCAAAGTCTCCTTTGCTGATAGGTTTCTTGTATGTTTTCCTCGTTGACTCTGACCGCTTTTCAGATCTGCTCTGTTTTTGCCGAAGTCTCAGAGCTCTGTCTTAGCCCTGTTGCTTTAGCACAAGAGTAATAGCTAGCCCTGCTGCTCTATCTGTAGCCCTTCTCCAGGCCCCTGGGCCCAGCAGCACCTCCATCAAGCCAAAGGGATTCACTGCTTGGCGAGGGAGGAACTGCTTGGTACCTGCTAGTTGGGCACAGAGCAAGAGCAGCACTTGCCTCGGCTGTTCTTTTGCACAACTGAAGGAGCACTTGATACAGAAGATTCTTATTTAAGTTGTGTTGGATGCCATTGTGTAGATTGGTCAGTTTAGGTTCAGTTTAGTTTAAATGTTGAGGAATGAACAGCCATCTGCAGATGGGGGAAAAAAGCCAATTTGATCAAATTTGGCTACATTGTATCAAGGCATCAGTTTTAACATTGGAAGAGCTATCATGCATGTACTATTACAGCAGCAGTAACACTTTAGTGAGCCAAATTCAATACCTCCACCTCTCACTTCTTTCTCTTCTTTTACTTAATAGATTTTCTCTAAAAAACGAGGAAACTGTTCTATGACTCTGTTCCCTGTTCATCCTGGGATACTATTAGCAAGGAATGTTGTTTCATGGTCAATAACAGTCTGACCATGAAATCCATCTTTGTAAATTAATGTCGGTCTTGAACTGCATTTGTATGACTGATTTCCATAGGCATTGGAGGAGCTGAACAGTTAAATGTACTTTCTTGTACACTATTTTTTAATTTGTACAGTGTGTGTATGTGTGCACATGTACATGTAAAAATAACATGACATATTATAGTACTATGTTGCAAAGCTCATGGAGAAGAAGTGAAGCAACAAATTGGGACTTCTGACTGGTTCCTCTCTGCCGGCCTGCCCTGTATTTCAGCATGGTTGTGATTCTTTCACTCCAGAGAGTTCTTCTTGAGCTAACAGAGGCTTGCAAGCTAGCAGAGTTGCTTGCTTCAGCAACTTTGTTTTGGGAAGTTCTCTCCTCCACTCTGCTGCGAATCACACAACTGCAAATCATGCGCGTGTTCATGGAAGTGAATCTTCTCATCTGTCCGTCTCGCTGAAAAATGTGATGGCAGAAAGGTCAAGTAAAGGGTCTTACTGTTGCGCAGTTATGAACTCGAACATGTGTCCAGCGGTGTGTTCAGAGCTGCACCCTCACAGCAGCCTGTCGTGGGAGCGTCTGCGGCAGCCAGCGTCACCGCAGGGCTGGTTGGTCACCGAGACTAGCAGCCTTGTGCCCCTCACTGCGTGGGGTACCTGGCTCTGGGGTGGGAGGAGGAAGGACTTGGAAGGGTTTTGCCTTCGTTTTCTTTAATCTCATCTTTAATCTCAAAGCTTTCTGGTTTTGCCTCAATATTTTAGAGCTAGAAGAGAAATTGTAGCAAATCTACCTGGAACAATTCCTTTGGATAAAGTTCTATCCTGTCATTTGGAGGCAATATCTAATTAGATTTTGGCTGTTGAGTTATATCATAGAAAGAAAAAAAAATATTTTCACCCAAATGCCATGTGCTATTAATTGCATCAAATTTGAAAAGTAGTTGAAAGAAATAATATGCTCCATAAGGCTCTGTTCCGCTCTTTTCTTGTTAATTGGCTCTAGGCCTGTGTAGTAAACATTACAAATGTTCAGCTTGTTTTAATAGCGCCCAAAGAATTATACTTCATCTTTCATCCTCTTCTTTGGCATGAAGTATATTACTTTCATTTCACAATCTCCCTGTCTCCTTATCCACTAGGAGAGAGAAACAGGCGAAGAAGATGTCAGGTGGCTTTCAGTTATATGCCTCAAAATGAAGATGAACTGGAATTAAAAGTCGGTGACATCATTGAAGTTGTCGGAGAGGTAAGTAGATGTTTAGTGAAATATGAATGCACATAATTCTAGCATATCTTGTGCATGCTAAACTCTTAAACATAATGTATTTTAAGATATAATTAAAACCAGATGTTTTTCTTTTTCAGTATCCTTATGCATCTTTGTCAAGCTAGTTTTAGAGGTGAGGGGAGGTGGTTTGCTTTTTTTTTTTTTTGTGAAGTCTTTCTTATTTTTTTCGTAGCGATTCTGCTGCTTTTACTCCATCAGATGTTGCTTCTGAATTCAATGAGGGAAAAACTCACACTTTTGCTACAGTATTGTTGAGTTTATATATCTTTTGAAGAACAAGACAATAGCAGAAAAACCCTGCCCAATTACAGTAAGCCAGGCAAGGAGATGAATTACCTTTATCAAGTAAAACAGATCTAAGAAATTTACTTGGAGCCCTCAAGAACTCAGCCATGATATTCACCTTTTGTCGTCTTTGTATTCAAATTTGGACAATTTCATTTTTATGTAATCAGATTTAAAAAACAAACAAACAAAAAAGTTACAGACTGAAGATTATGGGTGGCAGTGGATCTAGAAACTGGTTGCAGATATCCTAGAACCGGGAACAAGCTGGATTATTCAACGATAATGAAAGTTGTTTTGTGTGGGTGTATCTGGTTAATAGGAGCCGTAAATATTGTTCATTCCTTATACCTTCAATGTTTGATCCATGAGAGTTTTTAGAAGTCATGCTGTTGAACTAAATAATATGAGGACCAAAATTTGAAATGGTGACATGAACCCTTTAAGTAGAATGTATTCACATCATTCAGACATTCAAAATCATTTAGACTTTATTTAGCTTAGCTTTAAAAAGGTATTAAAAAAGATCTTAGTCCAATCAAGAATTGAATGAGGCATGTTTCAGCTTTTTCGTTTGTTCATAAGATTTTTTTCTAGCTACTCATCAGCTAATAAGTCAACATTTATTTTCCTGTCAAAAGTAGATGATTTGTTTTCTTCTTCTTGTGCCTGACACTTAAAAAAATATTCAAAAACTATATAAGTTATATTGCAATCTACATGACATCCAGCATTTTTGTTAGGAGAGACTGAGTTATCACTTCAAAAAGCAAGAAGCTTAGCGATCACTGTTTTTTCCTTTACCAAGCTGCACACACCAGCTCTGTATGTTGTTCTTCCTGGAGCCAGACAAGATATGTCACTTCACTAACCTTATTCTGTCTGTAAGCAGAGTTGCAATGTAGATGTCAAGATTAGGAGATATTTAAGAGCCTACTTTAGACAGTGTAAACTCAATATTGCAAGAAGTTTCATGATAGCACTTGAGATGTTTTCAGTGCTACTTAAAGCATATTTGACCTCACATGACCACAACAATCTCTTCCAACAGTTGCCCTACTTAAGACTTTTAATTCTGTGTTTCTGAAGAGCATAAAAAAATCCTTCTTAGCAGACCCAACCAAAAGATTATCTCTACCTAATGAGTTGTATGGTTAAATAATTTTGTTGAGACATCTAGAGTTCTCTCATGAGGTGCATCTTGTGTCATCTTACAGATTAAGTTTAATTGTAACAGACTTATTTAAATTCAAATGAGCTGAAAATGTTTGCCTCCAAGTTGAAAGATGTAGCATTATGAAAGTGAAACACCCCCCAATTGTGTGTTATGCTTACGGTAAAGGGCATTTTTTTTGCAAGTAGGTCTTCTCAGTCATTTGGAAACGCACTTGGCTTGCAAGCTACAGACTTGTAATCTTAAACTTGTAGTTGTGCCTTGAATGGCTGTGGCTGGAGAAAGCTTTGCAAATTTGCCGATTCTCAACTTTTAAGCAAGTTTATTGTCTGCTTCTATGTTCAACAGGATTAGGGCCTATGATCCTGGCATTAGTTTAGCTGTAGCATGGAAGAGGGACCGGCTTGAGCTATTGACCTTAAGTAAAGGTGGGCACAGAGTCCCTGGCCTAGGCAAGGCCATGTCCATGTTTTCCTAAGGGGGATAGATACCTTTTCTGAGCAGTTACTGAAACACAGTTTGCCTTAGACATCATCTGGTGCAATCATGCAATCCAGGACATTATCCAACTCTTCCGGATGGAACTAGATCAATTGGTGGAACAAGGGAAATAAAGGAGTAATTCTCAACACCTCAGGAAGCGCTATTAGATGAACTTTGTTTTCATCACAGTTGATCCAGAGCAGCTGATGCTGAATAGTTGCTGTTATTACTTCCTCTTCTGCCCTTGATGTGCTGGTGTTTATCCCTGGAAAAAGGGCAGAATTTCTCTTGAAACAGGAACTTGATTTAGTTTAGAAAGCTGCACCCAGCAGTTTACTTACTTCAGTATTTACTCTTCTGTAGGGTAGCCTTCTTACAAAGTCATTGCATCAGAATATGTTTCACAGTATTTCTGTCATTTTACCACTCTCCCTAATTTAACATAGGTGTTTGATATGAATGCCTTATTTTTAAAAATAATGTAGCTTCCTCAGTTGTGAAAATATCTGAAGATTTTTAAGAAGGGCCCAATCACGCTGTGTTATTGTAAATAAGATGTACACATACAGTACTTGCAAAATAATCATGAAATTCTGCTGACATAGTCATCAAAAATAATCTCCAATCGATTTGTTCTATTGTTATTCAAGGTGAAAAACTGAGCGATAGCATCTTTGGTGTTATTTGCTTAGTGGGTAATTGGAATTTCTTGTGGCTGAGTTAATGGTCATTCACTTTCTATTTTCAGTCTCTCCTTTCTCCTGGCAGGCCTTTTTATTCATGAGTAAAAGGTCTGAAATTCCCAGAGGCAGTATTTTATTGTAGTTTTCTAAGAAAGTTGCATCAGTTGAATTAATCAGTTTTAAATTGATTTAGACTAATCTTTTCACATCTCTGTGCATTTCAATTTAGTTGTTTGTTGTAGTATAAAATACACAGATTCCTGATTGACTTAGGTTTAACAACAACAACAAATATTCTTTAGATCAAAATAGTATCTATGTGTCTTTATGTGATTATTTAAACACAGCTTAAAATGTGTTTAAAAATGCACGTATGCTTGACAACCCATTAGACTTTCCCTGTTGGCAATCAAACCTGGTTTTGAGTTTGCTGGGCTAATTTGGCTCATCTTTAAAAGAGCAGGTGGGCTGAGCCGTGTTTTAGCAGTTAGCTTGTGTAATTTTTGGAACAGAGACTCCTTAGCCAAAGTCCTAAGGTCGTGCTGTGGGGCTTGGCCCCCTTCTCCCGTTGAAGGCGGCTGCCTCCAGAAGAGGGTCAGTAGAAGGGAGCGCAAGGTTTTCTCTCAGCTTCTGCTCCCATGGATCTCGCAGGCCCCACAGTGAAGATTGTGTGTTAGTGCGGGCACTGAAGGTGTCTTCCCTCCTCCCAGCTCTGCTTCGGGGTGCCAGCAAACACACGAGGGGCAGCTGTGCCCAAAACCGCCCCCGATTCTTTCTCGTGGTGCTGGCAGGCTGGACAAGATCGTTTTTAAGAAGGTTTTTTAAGGTAGTGGTAGGTAGATGCTACTGGGAATGGCTGCTGTGGTTGAAGTGTTTTGGGTCTGTGCTGTGGGTGAGGCAGCAGCGAGAGCCTGAATTAAGCTAGGTTTGTGTTTTGTGTAAATGTCCCAATTGCTTCTGAATCCTACAATTATGATTCTTGGAGAGTGTTTGATCCACTGAATAGACTGTGTGACCTTTGCTGTGGGGGTTTATAATGTCACCAGATAGAGATATCCTTGAAGACAGTAGATGTTTAAAATTCACAGTTCCTTTCTCTGTGTTCTAAATTAAGTGGAAATTAATTATAATAAGATCAAACATTCATAATAATAGATAAAAACGCTTGTTGTGAGGCTAGAGGTTTCCGTAACTGCATGGAGACTGATACCCATGAGAAATTAATTAACGAACCTACATTAAAAATATATTTGAAAATAACAAGAGAAGCATTCCCATCCTCATTTATGTTCGTGTTTAGCGTGTGATTGATAGCTTTTTGGTTGTCATTAATTTTCCTAGCTCGTTAGCTATAACTCTAATTACAGTTAGAAATACAAAATACTGTAACTAATTGTCTTATTAGATGCAACTCTGTGAATCCCAGTGACATGTCACCCTCACGTGCTGGCGGCAGCGCTGGGCTGGGTGCCCAGCGGCTGGTTGGGGTCGGCGTGTCCCTGCCCCGCAGGTGACTGCGTGGCCTCGTCCTGCCCGAGGTGAGGAGCCTCGTGGTGCCGCAGGGCCCTGTCCTGCCCTGAGGAGCCTTGTGGCGCTGCGGGGCCTCGTCCTGCCCGAGGTGAGGAGCCTCGTGGTGCCGCAGGGCCCTGTCCTGCCCTGAGGAGCCTTGTGGCGCTGCGGGGCCTCGTCCTGCCCGGGGTGAGGAGCCTCGTGGTGCCGCGGGGCCTTG